ACCGGGTTAGATAGAGGTTAGCCCCAAAAGAAACCCCAAAAAGCATATATCTACAATATCCCGTCACTGGGTAGCTCTTAAAAATAAATCTTCGTAGTTTAAAAAAAGTAAAATTATAAAAAAAGTATTAAAAATAATGCTGCTGTATCTTTTTTATCGTCCATGATCTTTGATGCTACATTAGGAAATTGTTTTAATTTGTGATAACTTAACAGTTATTATTCTGAGCCTCTCATGATACTAATTACTTACTTTATTATACCTCACAAATATATGTAGGTATGTTATTTGTTTACTACTGAAAAAATATTGGAAGTCATATTAAAATTATTTATTAGACTAGAAGAGGTGTTTTTGAACGTTCAACAATGATATAAAGGTAAAATACCGTCCATCTTTCCATCCGAATCCAATTTAGGTGATTGCATCACTGCTTACCATCAGGTGGGACCGCAGTCAAGCACTAGATTATTGCAAGTAAAAAAAATTACTGGTCAGTCCTCTAATGAAGGCATTTGCTCGTTTCAAAGTGTCTTTTCCTACGGAGAACAATAAACCAGAAAGGCAACACCACGCCTCTTTAAAAAACGCTTTGAATTTTGTTTGGTATTTTGGTCTTTCTTAATTTCTCAAGATAAGTTTTAATTTTCGTTTTTTGAAAGAAAAATTTCGCAAGTTTTGGTTGCCTATAATTGAATGTGCATGTGTTACCTAATATTACCTAAGTAATGCTGATGGGTGCAAGTTGTATTCGTTGGCAATCCTTAATAATTTGAAATATAGTTTTTAGTATAATAGTTGGTTTAAAAACTAGGTATTTATCTAAATAATAGTAGAATTTATGTTAGAAATAAGTGCCCGATTTTTTTTTATAAAATTCGTGTTTGTTTGTTAGTTTTGCATAAAAAATTCGTTGCTACGGCGACGTAAAGTTACTATGGTTCGCTTACATCGAGACGCGACGCTGCGCGCGCACTATTAAAGAGCGAATTTTATCTTTGATGGAAATGTGAGCGTTCTAGTAAACCTGTGGTAACCTGTTATTAGAAGCTCCATTTTTTTCGGAATCACGTAATAGGCACACCCGTGTTGACGTTACGGTCCACAGAGTTCACAACGGGTCAGATATTCCAAAAATGGCCTTACTGTGGGATGCATGGGAACAGTGGTTACCGACTGTGACACATGTGTTTTGGTTATGTGCTTACCAAAATCAAAAGATTTTCATGCTCCTTGCTAGTAAATAGCAATTACATAATATCCATAATATCATAACCCCATCTTTGTCGTGAAACTAAACCGAAAATACTGGCTCCATTGCCACGTTGAAAGGCAATATGTTTTTTCTTAATTCGTAATGGACTGACGTTTAGCCACTGTGTGCCGGTACTAAGCGATGATGCGACCTACGATGGAGCACACCATAGGCAACCTATTAATCTTAGTCCACGTTATTAATTAACCTTTTTAAGCCTCCAGCTACTGAAGTGTCGCCCATTCTCTTTATAATATCTTTGTAAATATGGGCACTTGGGCCCATAGTCTGAGGTTTAAAAATCATAATCAAAGTTGCCAACCACCAATCAGTTTATATAAATGGGATATTCTTCTTGAGATTGTCAATAAGCAAGTCAACAGTTCTCATATCATCGTCGAGTATCAAGCCTTTGGGTTTTATAGGTGCTGTTAAATCTATATCTATCTACACTAATATTATAAAAAGGTAAAATTTATAAGTTTGTATGTTTGTAAGTTGTATGTAGGGGGTAATCTTTGGAACCGCTGGTCGGATTGCCATAATTCTTTCACTGATAGATAGCTAGAATGTTCCTGAGTGCTATAGGTTATAAAACATCACGCTACGATTAAATGGAGCCGAGCAGCGGGTGAAACCTTGCGAGAGTAGCTAGTAATTCATAAAGCTTCGGTACGAATGGGTCGGCTCGACTGGAGTGATACCACGACCACACGGAAAACCGGCGTGAAACAACCTCAGTGTTGTGTTTTGCCGCGTGAGTCAGGTTGTCGGAGGCCCAATCTTTCGCACCCCCCCTCATCGGTAAATATTTCGCTAATAGGCTGGCAACGCATTCGTAACTCCTTTGGTGTTCATGGGCGGCACCAATTGCTTACTATTAGGTAAAACGTCTGCTCGTACCTATACCATAAAAACCGACCTACATATACTTACCATAAATATATATATAAATTTCAATATCCTCGTATTAGGGGGTAAGCAATATTTTTAAATTAATTTTGCATTCGGGTCTTGGTACGATGTGTATTTTGTATGAAACGCACCCACGACACAGGAGAAAATCCTAGTGTGGGGCAACGTTTAAAAGAAAAGGAAACAAATTGGTATGTAGATAGTTAAGTAAATGAGACTATATTTTCCTGTACTTAGATGGATGTTGCTCTCTGAGTACGATCAGGCTCCGGCGTTGCGCACCCGCGCTTGCGGCCATTCGATTAGTGCACCACAATGATATGTTAATGGCCTATCGAGAAATATAGTTTATTGTTTACAGACCTCAAACGCGCATCCTGCTACGGCTACCAGCTACACGTAGGCTCAACTACAGCATCGCTGCGAGCGCAATTAATGATTTACTCTGCCTACAATTACTTTGTTTCGTGATGGGCGAGTCAACGTAGGTACCCAGTATAACATACTGTTCTGGGTTTGAATTCGAATTCACACAGTGTTTTTTGTTCAAAATCATACAACCACTATTTGACGTACGAATCCTCATTTCAAGCAAGTGTACCTTAAAACATAAAGAGCAGAAGCTGTCAGTAAACCTTTACAGATAGGTAATTTGTGTAGGTACTATAGATTTTTTGGTGTTTGTGGCACAACTATAAAGGATTATCAAGAATCATTTATAAAGGATTATCAAGATTCATACTGAGTACATCTAAAGCTCATGAATGCTCAGTTAAGTCATGTAACGCAATTCATGCAAGAGTTGCGTCGTCCAAGGCGGGCTAATGGTATTGAGTAGAAATATCGAGCGGCGGCAAACTGACTGATCAGACCGATTGAGCAGGACAATTGCCCTTAATGAAAGTAATTAACACGACGCGATCGGCCGCCATCGATAGCAAGCCGCCAAGCCACGCTGCGCAAGCGCAACTGGCCGCGCAGCCAGACACCACAATATACGCCTAAATCAACCTACACGCACCGATTTAATTAGAAAATAAATCACTCTTGTATTAAATCCAATTCAGTTGGTATACGGATGCAGAACATCTGTACCTGGACCTCCTCGATGACATGTGAAAGTTACGACTGCACATTTCTATAGGTTACTTATTACAATCTATTATATTAAGTGCACATTTATATTTCTCCCACAGTAAGGTGCAAGTTTCTTAACGCAATTTCAAATCAACAACAGGTAGTTGCGACTATATTGAAACATTTTTTCTGTGTTCATTCAAGCCGTTAAAATTCCCAAAATCAGCTGATTCAGGTAAACATATTCAGCAATGGATCGGTTTGTAAAGACGACTTGGACTCACCGGCTGACTGCGTGAGAAAGTACGTCACTGACTGGATTCACACATTAAATATTTGGTTAACCATAGGTTTTGTTCCCATACTGAGATTAAATGAAACTTGATGTACCTTAAAAATATCGAATATAATTTGTTTTTATTTTGTTGCATTGAAAAATATGAACTTATATTACGTTTTACGATACAACTAGACGCAAATACAGTGAATCTGAAGCATAATAAATGTACATATTATTGTCACAAATATTATGTAATTCGTGGAATACGAACCAACAGGCAACACTTACTACCCACCTTTGTTTGTTCACATTTCCAATATCAAGATGTGTGTAGATCAAGGTTACGGCTGCATTTATCTTTTATGGGCACTGTAAATCAAGAACAAATTTATCGATAAACTGGCATAAAGCTAACAGTGCGACTTGTTGATCTGTTTGTTTATGATATTCTACAGATATCTATGCATATGTAAATATATAAAATAAATATTAACTATGTCCCGGCCGAATTATTCAAGGTTAACTCCATGGGTGCTTGAAAACATCGTTATTCAAAGTGGGTATAGATAGATAGCATTAATCTATGTTAAGAAATCAGTAGGTTAGGCGTAATGTTTGCCAATATGGTGTCGCAGATTCTTATTTTTTTTATACGGGTTTAAAACGAAAGAATTAAAGTGCGCAGGCGGGTCGTGTGGAAGTGTCGGGTTTAAATGGGCCATCGGTATGCGACAACGCCCTGCCCGCAATGTGTTGACCAGCACTCTATCAAGGTTGCCCGCGGCACGTGACACGCACTACTAAATTATTATAGAAAAGCAAATTTTATCCCAAACGTCACGTGTGACTATTCAACAATATTGAGTTTGACCCGTGATATAATAAGTTCAATGAAATCAATAATTTCATAACGTTCGAACGTTATACATGACATAGGTAGGTAAATAAAGTAGTAATATACATATAATAATTTTAACGACTTTTCATTTTTATGTAGGTATTGTTTATGTAGTAGCTACCGGTGCAATTAATAACTACACCTGTAAAACTTTGCTCTAATACTTTGTGCACAATTATGTATTTTATATACCTACCTACATATTACAGACATTTCTTTTGACGTTGTTCTGTTTTTGTAAATATCTAATTAAATCGGAAAGGCTCGCGATGACGACGGTATTCATTAAATGTAGATGGAATCTATAAAGAAGGGCAACGAATAAGAAAATCTCCATATCCATCGTCGGAGCACGGTCACATCGTCAGTCAATGAAGAATGAACAAGACAATAAAAATAAGATCGAGTTCGGCCAGCAAATATAAAGGAATTCCACGACGAACGATGAATGAATCGAGGCATCATTCTCAAACGAGCATGTAGTTTGTTTTGTTTGATCGTATGTCCGTAATGAAAAAGCGCGTCTGGGCTCAGGTGCACACCTGTTGAGGCGCCGAGGCCGTGGGATACGGCTCATGCAGGTAAGAAGACGCGCAAAAACCCACCTATTGTGGGTACTTACGATCTGTACATGCCCAATATCTAGCCAGTTGCGTCAACCTCTGAACACTTAAATCATATATCTACATAGATAGGTACTTTGGTAGATTATTTTGATCTTTTGGCTATATAAAGAAACGTGGTTCGTTAGTCTGCATTCAGATATTTAAAGATTAGTCCAATTCACACTATCGACATCTAATTTATTTTGATGTGAGACCCTGAAGGTAGACTAACTGGGAACAAAATGTTATACTGTACATAGCCATGCTGATTGCTAGCACCATGGCATCTATAATGTTATGTGTATACATAGCTACACCTACAACCTCTCGATCTCTATAACTTTATATTATTGTTAAATTCTTATAGGTATTAGATACTTAATGGTGTTGTGTGCGAATTTGTACTCAGATCTACTTACCTATTAGAGATTATAAATAGTACTGTAGAAAACAATTGTGGACATTAAATTTATTTTTACTTTAGCATTTGCCTTGTGAAACTTGTGGTGATATACACGAGATCGTCGACGAGATTTTATTTTCTTTACCATACAGGGGCGGGACATAAAGAAAGCAACGCTTTTACGTGTAGGCAGAGGCCCACTCAGATATGTACGTTCCGTGTTTCAATTTTTGCCCATATCTGGCAGTGGCGGTGTGCCGCCGCGTGTAGACAGATTCAGATATGCTAAGAACGTGCAGGTCGGCGGGCAGGCGCGAGCGCCGCGGCGGTGCCCGCGATGTAGGCGTGAACAGCGAGCACCGCAGCCGCACTCGACCTGCAGATTTATGCACGCAGCTCCCTGCACTACCTGCTCCCTGCGTACTGCCACATACCTACTTCACGCTTCAAACCCACTCACGAATTTGCTAGCCGTCTAACCCACGCACAAAGACCAGCTTTACCGAATTTCTCTTTGTAGAAACATATTTTATCTTCACTGTTTTTTCTTACCAAGAGGCGTAAATATTCTTTCTACCCTACTATTGAATAATCGGGAAGATATGTGTGATTTAAAGCGTTGTTGATTTTATCCACATTCTTGGTCGTTGTACAATACGCCGACTGGCGCAATGCGAAATTCCATTAAGCTTTTTGAATACGAATAAAAGGAGATTTTGGAAAAAATCCGACGCTGCACTCGAACAGGTTATTGTTCAAGGTTTAAAGAGGAACAATCGCACTGTTGTGTTTCCAGTTAACCATGACAAATGCTGTTGTTTAGTTTACCTGCAGACGTTCTTTGTTACTTGACTTATTGCATAATTGTTACAAATGTGATTTCATAAAACATTAATGTAGATCGTCAATGGCGGTGGCAGCAACGGCACTTGTCGTCTTTTGCTTAAAATTTAAAATTAATTGGTAATAAGACATTTAATACATAATATTGTAACTTATTAATCTGGGTCAAAGACCTCTGAACTCTTTAACTCACGTGTTCTTATTAATTGAATATGACCAGATTTGCAATAAATTTGTGTCTCCTCTGCTGATTCGTTATTCAAAGTGTCGGTGCCGTATAAATTGTACTAGACACGTTTTTGAAAACGTGCGAAAATGTGTGTAATTAATTGACACCGTAATTATTGCTTTTGGTCAAAATTAACACTCACGAGACTGAATAAATAGACACGCGACCACTGCAGTAAATACCTACAATGTTGTCGATTTACGATACGAGTGTAAAATGATAGAATTGAAATAAACTGTTAACCGGCACCAGGTTATGAACAAGTACATAAAGCTCTTATTTGGGTGTAGAGTTTAGAGCTTTTGTCTAAATCATTGAGAATTATAGCGGAGTGGGCAGCTACAGGTCCAGCGTTGTTCTGGGTGAAACACTTGCCACTGTCTATTGCTACTACGATTACAATCTTTATAGAACCACAATGACCCTTATGATTATATCGTTTGCAAATTCGCATGAGCCATCACAAGAAGAGAGCGCACTGCACAGGCTTTGACGTTATCTTTTATGAAGATCATTGTTACCGTTGCCCTTGATATGACACAAACTTCCGTGTTCAATTGTGATGTTTGTTTAAAACGAGCATTTTATCACGTGGTCACCGATACGTCGATGCGATCGCGATGAAGACGGGGATGCGCGATAATAAAACTGTGTTAGTTGGATAACGCACGTCCAAACAACGTGCGGATGTCCTCGGCTACAGATAAGCCCCCACAACCTGTCCGAACCTTATCGATATACCTAAGTTCAGTCAACAGTGCCTATGCAAATAACACGTACATACACTTTTATTATTAACCTCAACGCACAATAACTTGATGCAACCCTGAACTGTCAATCATATTCAGATACCTAACCGATGTGTATTTTCACATGTAGATAATGAAATTCCCATTGCTGGACACCAGGATGACAAGCATGTAAACTAAGTGCTTGTTTTAACATATAAGTACTTATTGTAAAGTACTGATGAAGATTGTAACTGAAATATACTCACGTGAGATATGTATGTATTATTGTAAGATAATAAGGAACTGCTAATGTTATGGAGTGTACATCTGCAAGGCATTACAGCATAAATCCACTCAATTTGTTTATAGCCGACAGCGCAGCGGTTGCCGGTCACGGAGGCAGGTATTGGCAATGACATTGGCTGGTTACGAGTGACCGACCACGGCTACGCTGCAAGCACATAGTGTGTTTGGCGCGCTCTTTGTTGGGCTGGCGAAAGTAAAGCTTTGGTGCAAGATGTGGGATAAATTTATACATAGATACATATAATACAAATACGCGAAGGTCGCGTTAAGTGGGTCGATGCGAGGCACTTCCGGCCACGCGGATGGCACGTGCTCGTAGGATGCGCATATGCCCAGGAGACGCCCTTCCGTAATACTGCAATTATGTAGCACCCGATTTATTTATTACATCTATATATTTATTTTAGCATCTATGTAAGGATGCAATAAATTACAAATAAATAATCGGTGATCTTTTTCACTTTAATTTATAATCAATTTGTGTTCGTTTTATGTGCAAAAATGTCTAAAGTGTGTAAGTACTTCCTCAACGTGTCAGCGAGGTCACATTCGATATGCGCAAGTAAAGATATTCTATTTTGGGTACGAAAGATAGTCGTAAAACATCACAATTTACAATTGAAAAGCGGTTACGAAAGCGCAACATAAGAAGGAATATTTCTTTCGAGTTGTGATAAACGACGACATTCATAAAGGTGAAGAAAAAAAATTAATTCGTGAATTCCTTAAGTTATTGGCACAAAAAGGGAAAATTTAAGACGTGCCAACTCAGACAATGCGGAGTGGTGTTAATCTTGGCTCGATCAATAAACTCTCTGATTACACATTCATGGAATACTTTGTGGCGTGTCCCTCCTGCCCCGTGTTGCGTATGTACCTACGTATGTACACGTCTACCTACTTACATTGTAACGTCGTGCTATGCATATAAGCGAATGTAAATAATTCTTTAAACGACTGTAAATGTGCCTTATTGTTGGCTGTGCCAGTTTTTCTCGAGCTTTTTATTTAAAATAATCAAAATATTTTGTCGACAGGAACACCGATGTAAAGTTTGGATTGAAAAAATTTTGTAGTTCTTAATAATGAATAATATTGTGTGATTTATAACTCTAAACATTGATATGTTTAGAGTCACCCCCAAAACAGCTTCAAGTGGTGCCTGTTTAGGAGTCATTGGTATCGTCACTATGAGGACGATCCGGAGGACATGGTGAAGCATACGATGGTGGTATGCCCATGGTGGTATACTTGGGCTGAGCGCTGTGTCTCCAGGTAAGTTCTTTTTCTGCGAAACAGTCATAGTCGCAAAGAAAAAGCCAATAGAGACAGACAAGGGCTAATGGCAGCCCCATTAGACCTTTTTTAGCCGGGGGTAAGCGCATTAAGGTACTGCGATCACGGCCTGGAGCGGAAAAGGAAAGCGGTGGTTTTACTATAACTTATTGCTGTCAAAGACTTGCTTCTTTTGCAACTGAAAAATGAACCGAATGTACCTAACAGGGGTCGAAGTCCAGACTTCATGTTATATCAATAACTACTATTCGATCAATGTGTCCTGACAGATAAAGTATAAATTATGTGTTTCAATATACCAAATCTCCATAAAAATTTAATGCCTAATTATCCAATTTACGTGGCGTATATTGTTATTATTATATTAAGTGTGTTGAAATTCGTTACGTTTCCGAGACATATGGGTCAGCAGACGCATAAAATTCGACCAACTGATCCAGATTATTTAAAAAAATATGCCAGCTGACCATTTCCTATACAGACGTAGAATTAATTGTTGTAGGGAGGCGGAGAGGTGACACCGACTAAATTGGCACATCTGTCATTGCTCACCTAGCCAAGGCCGGTCGAGGGCCTGCGCATAGGGCGTCATCTGCACCTTATGGAGAACGATCCTGTCGTTTACAGTATAAGAAACAAAGCGCTCCAATTAATTAAATATTTACGTAATTTTCATTCTTACTGATGTTGAATTTAATATATGATTATAGTAGTATGAAATTAAGAGTATCAAAATAAAAGAAATGTTTAGAATACTTGACGCGGTGGCTAGGCAACTGGCTGCCGCGCAACGTGTCGTGGGTTCTATTCCCGCACGGAACAACTCTTTGTGTGATCCACAGATTGTTGTTCCGGGTCTGGGTGCATGTGCAATCGTATGTTTGTAAACGCACCCACAACTCAGGAGAAAATCCTAGTGTGGGCCAAAGTTTTATATAAAAGAAATAAAATAAATATGAATAAAACAATGTTAAGGAATCTATGATTTTTAAGTACAAATTGTTAATTTGTTCCTATGAATTTAAACAGTGTTCTCGTAATTAGCTAAACTCTTTCATTTATGATATGGTACAGACATTACATTAGTGACGTGACAAGACAACACTTGCAAGGTGACTTTAGTTTATAATTGTTTCGGAAACGGATACGAATAGCTATAAATACTTTTAAAAATAATTCAATAGCATAAAGCCTTAACGCGTTCCCGTTTGAAAGAAGTTAGTAAGCCTTAATTTAAATGCCTCGCCACGAAACGCAGCGACACCGCGACGACGGTCTCACGCACAACAAAGTCTCGCAGTTGACAATATGTCGTTCTCTATAGTCAAATCCGATGACACATCTCAGTTTCTCATCGCGCATTAAAGCGGTGACCATAAAATGATAATCTTCAAGAACAATTTAATACTTTAATTATTTCAAAATAATTTACTAACTTACCTTAATTTTAGTTAGCAAACGCTTTCTAGCAGCGTTATAATTTCAACCATGATTTATACGATTGCAATAACACAGATAAGCGATTAGATATTAATGGCTTTTTAGCTTTTGTACAACTCATGCAAACAAGTTTCTACTGTTTCTGCTACAATCAAAGTCAGATAATAAAGTAATTAACTATTCAAGTACCTTGGTATTTTAGTATTGTTAAATCTGATACCGGTTCACGAACTTTCAATCACTTGGAGTTGAAAAGACTGAGCCAAAATATGAATAATGTTCAGGTTACCAGACGTCAGAGATCAGCGACCGTAAACCTCCTAAGACACACCTGCTCTCTATTCAGAACGCCAAACAGCGAGCACAATGAGACCTATTCAAATGTTAAACAAAAATGGCATTCGATAGACAGCAGCACTATATTGAATTAACTCGAAGGCGGAACAATGCTTACATCGATATCTCTACCTACTTTCTTTTCGAGAAAGACAACAAAGTTCCTTCTTGCGAGGACGCTGACAAGCAAGCCGCGACACAAAGAAGATCGACGGCGGTTGCCCGTAATGCACAAAGGTCAGCTCGGCTCGAGATCACCTTACATCGGTCGCAGCCGCCCGCACCGCGCGCCTCCCGCCATCGCGTACCACTATGCATCGTGCGCCCGCGCCGCTCCGCTCTATACTTTTGTGAGTCGAAGACGACGAGTATTATCGCGCGATCTGGGAGCGGAGATGCTTCTCATAATGCGTCCAGATAAACCCGCTTTGTGTCGTGTGCTCTCTATAACAAGAACAATATTCCATGAAAGGAGTGCGCAACGCAACAGGTACATGCCCCCGCGATTATCTTCTAGTTTAGGTGACGTGTGGTCGCCTCTTTTCAATTCTCAAACTACCTACATTATGTATGTTTACACTTACCACGGAAATTATAACTATTTTTAAAATGTTAGTCTTTTGTTTTCTTCTTCTTTAACGTTCGATATCAGTCCACCAAAATCATCGCAATTAATGTAAAAATCAAATCCTATTAATATTAATTAACTAAATGGAACCTAAACAAATATTTGCGCCAGATTATGAATCAAAGTAGTAGTAGTTGGAGACTGGGCGCATGCGCCACGAGCCACGAGCCACGACACGTTTAGAAGCACTGAATTAAACAATCACGGCTGAGTCATAATACCGGTTGGCTATAAAGACAACTCAAATAATCTGTGTCTAGTTTATTTCTCAGACAAAACGCCATGTTACTACGATAGCATAATTTAACATTGTTTTATACTTACTCCCAAAGCCTAAACAACATTATCGCTGATTCATAAATCGTAACGAGCGGTGATTCAAAAACATCAAATTTGTATTGTTGCCATGTTAGTTTCCTTATCCCTTGTCTTTGAGTATTTGTTCAAAGCTACTGATATGTTCATATGATTGACTTTTGCTCGTCGGCATTGCTAGTTGCAGACAGTTTGACACCTACGATTGACCGGTGAAGAGAACAGGGAGCCTGGTTATTATCGACCATAATCCCGACTAAGAAAGCGAAACAAATTGCGCAAAATGTATTGTCTGCGTGTTTATGTTCGTGGTGTGTGGTGCGATGCAGCGATGCAGCGGTGCGGCATTGCAGCGGTGGTACACTGGTACCTGCGGCGAGCAATGTGGAGCATGCGATAGAGCGGCCCACCCAGCGCGGTGCACCAACAAAGGCAACGCGACCGTGAAGTGAACGCATTCACGCAATCTGCGAACCAACCCTAATAAGTTATCTACCTACCCGCTGTCCGACGCGGCCGACACACTCTGACACACTACCTTCATGCTAGTTTATACGTACTGTTTTCTTAAGACTACCGGCCACTGCGATCCTGCCTAACCATTCTATAATGTTACATTATGTCTGGATGATGCTGAGATAACAAAATGAGCTTCTTATAATCGCTACACGCGAGGTAGTATCTCCTACATGTTCGGAATTTATTTGATAGCTTGCTATATGGGAGTCATAAACATGGAGCGGATATTGTAGCTGTCTCAATTAGTGCGTCTTGCTGCTGAATGCACGGCGAATATTGATCGCACACAACATGGCGATTGTTTTGAAAAACTTTAAATTTCAAAACGGTGTCTACTAAATTGCAGCTGAGTTCTACAAGCTTAAATATAAATAGACTATTAATCTCGTTAAGATATTGATCTAATTAACTCTATCTAATGCTAATGGCGTTTTACGAGCAAGCGGCTGTAGGCAAATTGAAGTGATTGAATGTGACATGCAAATAGTATAGGTTCGCATACACTTGTAGCTGCCAAGTGGCGAGAAATTGTGCAGCGAGTCGAAACAGGCCAGTTGCGAGTGACCGCCTGTGTGGTACAATTAAATCACGAGAAACAACAGCGCTTGCGCAGCTCCCGAGGGTGCGGCTCGCCTGCTTGCCCCGCGCTACTACTTCACCTTGAAGTTTACTACCCGTGTTACTTGTAAATGTACTCGTATTATTGGTGTTTCCGTTTACTCAAGTTATCAAGAACACTCTTAATAACCTTTTATTAAATGTTCTGAAAAATGTGCGAAATCCGTTATCACGAATTACGCAGATTGCCGTTATTCTCCTTAAAAGACCTTATTTCTATAAGACTTGTGTGAAATTACAACAAACCAGTAGATATATGTGCGTACATAGTTGAATTATATTTTTAGCTATATTATTTCGAATTCGTTCTGGGCTAAAAACATAAAATTACTACATAAATGCAATTTTACTCTTAAATATGTGTTTTTTCCATTAAATAAAACTGCTTTGCAATCGGATTTCCGAAATCTTAAATCTCAACAATTTACATGACGCAAAAATTTTATAGCAGCGTTTTAAATTTGATTATAATCAGAATAGGTACTTACTTAGATTATTTTTTCAGTTACGATTGCTTAATTCGGGGCTGAAAGGCTAATGAGATTTGATTAAGCTATGATGTCAGTGAATATAGATCAAGCGATGCGGTAACTTGACGTCGCAGCATTGATTTCACTGTTTCATCGGCGGAGCATCGATTATTGTGATTGCGCAAGCGCCGGCTGAGTTCGCCGATGCCTGCCCGTGCCCGATGCGGCCACTGTGCAAATCGGTCCAATTATGCAAGTGACTCGATTAGAAAATGAGATGGCCTGTGCGATATTTGAACTCGATTGATTTACTTACGTAATGGCTGCCGGAAATAATGTCAGAGCTGCATTCTAAGAATAGGATCGTTAGGTATTGTTACTAATATCAGTAAAGGAGGTGTACGTGTGACAGATTCGTATCTGCGCATTGTATTTGGATCCTATAGGTATTTGTACTAGCTATATACCAACATTTAGCCATCCACAATTTGACACGCTTACAAAAATGTTTGAAACATTATCTATAAAAATTCAGGTTTTAGGTATAAATCAAATAAAAAGAAATGAAATTTTGAGCATCTTTTATTTCCCCTAAACAAATCATTTATTTTATAAATATTTCTTTTATGTGATCGATCGGCAAACGAGCAGGCGGATTACCTGATGGTAAGCAATCAGCACCGCCCAGTGCGTTGCCGACCTTTTGGGGATTAGGAATTTGGAGACTTAGGGATTGGGGGATGAAAAGGATTGCGCCTCCAGTAACCTCACTCACACGGCGAAACACAACGCAGTGGTTTGTTACACGCTGGTTTTCTATGAGGCCGTGGTATCACTCCGGCCGAGCCGACCGATTCGGGCCGGGGCACGGCAATTACTTTGTTAACTACAAGTATGTGTCTGTCTTTGTTAAGTACAACTGTACAAATTACATGTATGAGTAGAGAAATAAATTAAAATAAACATCATTGATAAATTAAGATATAGTAAATTTTACTTACGGCAAAAAAGTGTTACATTTAAGGGAAAATATTTTATCTCACAAAATGTGTTCACAATATAAGTTTTAAAGTTTCAGATTTTCAGTTGTTTTTAAGATGAGATACTAGAAAGGGAGTTTGCTTCAAAAGTGCTGCATGTGCAATTTTTAATGGAGTACGTGCGTAATTATTTTAATTATCGAATGAATAAATTATTGATTTTTGATTTGAATCGCATCTCTATACAATATTTGCGCCATCTCTTCTCACAAATACATGCTACATCTAATATATTTTGTACATCGACTGAAAGGGAAAAGAAGCACTCTCTTTTCAAATAGTTTTTTTTTTCATCATCGATAAAAATGTTAAAAGGCAGTTTAAGTTTGTGAGAAAATTAAGATGTATTGCGTGGTCACCATTATTTTTATCAACAAATGATGGTGTTGTATGTTTCAATAACGACATAACCACAGTGTGGCCACCATATAATTGACTCGTAGCCTTCCGTAGTTACACACTAATTGTAAAATGGTTGCTACTGTTATTTATGTTCTTTTTATTTGTCAAGTGGTTTTTTATTGTTTAATTCGTTAATAATAAGGTTATTGTTATAGGAAATTATGAAAATAATGATCAAGGTACTCAATTGAGGACTTAAAAACTCATAATTGTGTGTAAAGCTCTACCAGTTGTAAGTCACTATGGGACTCTTTTTAACACTATGGCGCGCAGCCGACTTGTTTTCAATATTTTTTTGTTAACATCGAACCTTGCCCCACTTTACGATTTTCTCCTGTGTCGTGGGTGCGTTTACAAACATACAATTTCACATGCACATCACATCCAGACCCGGAACAACAATTTGTGGATCACACAAAGAGTTGTTCCGTGCGGGAATCAAATCCGTGACACGTTGTGCTGCAGCCAGTTGCCCAGCCACCGCGCCAACCATGCAGTCAATTTCATTTTATATTTTACAAACGTCCTTAATCCCATATTACAAATCAAAAGTGTGTATACTAATTAACCTTTTAATTGTGGTAATTCGAGATGCAGTAGAAGAAAAGATAAGTGTGCGCTTGGGTTTTAATGAATTAAACTAGTAAGTATATGATTTATATCTCCTTTGACATTTACTCATCGGTATTTTTTTTTTTTTTGTAAGCAATGTTGCCATGTGATACAGATCGGAAGAGATCGTTATTCTCACTAAGCCCGGTAAAAGTAAGAGAAAGGTCAAGAACATATGGTTCCGATATTTTTGAATTTCATGAGGGGAGCAAGCTGCGCCGGCGGGGTCAACGCACTGTTTCATGTAAAGGAGGGTTGTCACCGGTGCGGTGCGACGCTCACGTGGGATATGGGAGGTCGCCTTGTGAGACTCGCACTTCGGGAAACGCTCGCGCAGGTGACGACCTCCTACACAATTCAACAGCTACACAATCCTTCGAATTCCAATACAAACGAATTCCGCAACATGTATTATAAAACAAAACAACTTTCTTGAAATGAATTTAGGCTAATGAATTAATTTCACGCTTTTTATTTAATTCTGATTACTGAAATGGAACAGTTTGGTTTAGAACATCATTTCAGGTAATCGTTGTCCATTGTGAAGTCTTTAATTATTAATTAAAAACATTTTAAGTTAAATTTATTTACAGACAGAAGTATCCACTCGTAGTACGTCTTAAAAAACAGACATCCTAAATTTTTTTTGTAACTATAAACCGCCTTCCAAGTCTGTGTTTTATATTGAAACAAATGTTGAGTGAACAATATGACGTATTCCTTAGTTTAAATCAAGTTTTACGATACATATTATAAAACTGTTTTATAATAAATACCTACATTAATCGATGTTTACAAACAACAGTATTTCTAAAAC